AATCTATATCTAAAAAATATATATTCTGAAATATGTGAGATATATATTTCCAGAAAATATATATTCCAATATATTTGTATGTATATTTTTGTTTATATATATATATATATATTTCTAAAATATATATTTCAGTTTTAAATATATTTCCATAAAATATCTTAAAAACTTTAGTTTTCAATTTTGTATGAAAAACCTAATCTATTTAAATATATATTTCGGTTTTAATTTAAATATATATTATATTTAAAACTGTTAAATAAAGATATTTCAGTTTTACATAAAAACTGATATATTTGACAACCCAAACTTGCACCACACAGGCACATGGGCCACGGGGGGCATGGATGAACTTAGAGCCGAAGCCGACCCAAACCAACCCAACCCGACTCAAACCGACCAGGTCGGTTTTGCTTAACACTGGGTCGGTTTTGGTTTCCATTTCAGGTAACCCGACCAAGTCGGGTCGGTTGGAAAAACCTCAGTAAACCGTCCCAACCCGACCCGTGAACAACCCTAGTAAATGGGTTAAACACACCCTCAGGTTTTACAAATTTGAATTAATTTTAAATTGGCATTTAATTAAAATCTATTTAAATTCAATGAAAAATAATGTAAATTTGTTTAAAAATAGTAAAAGTTTAAAACATAATAAAAATAGTGAAAATTATTATAAATTTATTAGACAATACATAAACCTAAAAAGAATAACGATTGAGTATGGATTCCATTTGACTTAGCTAAATTAGGAATATCACAAAATTTTGCCTAACAAAACCCACCATCACACTGGTCCCTATATGTATGTTTTTAATTGGATAAAAACAATTACAATTGATTGTTTTTTCTTCAACGTTACAAGGTGTAAATGGGTAATTGATGAAACACATGAAAATGAACAATAATATGCTGCAAACACAAGTGGCAGGTCCCACTTTTATGTTGGATCCCAGTTTCATCATATTGGTAGAGAGTCCAGATCTTCTACTCACATAGTGCTCCTCACACCAACCTCACAGCATGTTCTGGTGCAAGTCAAGAACACCTACTGTATTTATGTTTATTATTCATGGGAAGATATTCCCAATACATGGTAGGATGTGGCTGTTAGGTCGGTGTGAGGAGGATATCTCAAGTTATTGGTAGGATGTTAGAATGTGTTTTGTTGGCAGGAGATCCCAACCCCTATGTAACTAATCGCAATGCTCCATCATCGGCAGGGATCTATTACTCTTACCAACCCATGATCCCAACACTGTCCCAACTATCCAATGTAATGGCTTGTTTGACAGTGTTGGAAGTGTTTATTAGGAAAAGATGTGAACTATCTATCATAATATCATCCAATTGAGTTGGGATTTTCTGCCAACATAACAAGTTCCTACCCTTTACCAATTTGATCTAGAGATCAAATTAGCCCCCACAACATTCCATGGCACATCTCTGTCGTGTATTGGAAACATCTCCCAATGATAATACTATAAATGATGATGTCATTATCAGGAGATGTTCCCAATACACGGCAGGAATGTGCTATTGGACGTTGTGGGGGGCTGATTTGAACTCCTTGATCTAACACCACATATTTCACCATAAGATTGAGGCCCACAATAAAATTAGGACCTGCCATGTATGAGATGCACGACATAAGATTATATTGATAGAGGATTGGAACGCGTTTTGTTTTAAGTGATCCATACTTCATCCAATTACCCATATTGAGCAAGATTCATTTGAGACAGGATCAGCTCCTTACATAGCGCTCCTCACACCGATCTCACATCTACCAGCCGCACATTAGAAACATCTCTCTTACATGTATGTTATTATTCACAGGAGATGTTCCTAATAAACGATAGGATGAGGCTGCGAGGTGCATATCTCAATTCTTAGAGTTCGGCTTTAGTCAAGGCAAAGCCCATTCAGGCAACTTTTACTACCTTTTGCATTGAAAATATCTTCGTACTTGTGTGCTTTATTTCATGGGGAGATATTCCCAATCTCCAATTCTTAATAGGTATTAGCGGAACAGCTCCTCACACATGGGCGCCTCGCAGGCACATCCACCGTGTATTGGGAGCATCTTCCGTGAATAATAACTAGGGGATGTTCCCAATGCCAGTAGAATGTGCGTGTGAGGAGCAGATCCGATCTCGGTATTACCCTGTTATAATTATACGTACTCGTGGACCGGGAAGGGTTGTCGAGACTCGGGAGAGACGAAACAGAAGTAACGCGCCAACGAACCAGAAGATACCATGAGCCGCGCAATGTCGGAGCCGGAATTGGAGGTTCAGTACGATCCGTCGATGCTTCTCCTGCAGCCAGTTCTCGACCTTATTGCGTCGGCCGGCTATTCCCCTGACCGAAACGTCAACTTATCGGCCTCTGATAAGCTTGTCGCCGGTCTCGCCTGGTGTATTGCCACCGCCAAAGCTATCGTCCCTGAACTGCAAGCCCTCTCCGGTCAAGATTCCATCCTCCAAGACAAAATGCAAGTAATCTATCCTCTCTTTGTCTCTTCTCTGTTTTATAATTTGCAGACGGTACTGATTTGTTTCCAGTGCATAATAATCTCTTCTTTTGACTTGTTTAAATTATAAATTTGAAAGGTTGATGAAATATAGGAGGTTAATTATAGTTAGGTTTTGTAAGATTCATTCTAATTTGCCAGGTTAATTAAGATTAATTGAGTCCAGCTTTTACGTTCTTTATAGTTTATGGCTACCCAAACCGGATTAAACTTTGGAAACGAGTGCTGAAACCGCTTGCTCTCAAGAGTAATTTTTTTTCAGTCATATTTTATCATATTGCCTAATCGTTTCCTTTTCTGCTGAGAAATGATAATTAATCTGTTTGAATTTTGAATTACGCCACGGGTTGGCGACTTATAGAGAACAATCTTCTAATAATTTAAATATGCATAGTCTCACTGTTTGAGGTAATTCAACTTGTGGTATTGTTTATTATATTCTCTTGTGTACTCTGGCCGTAATTCGAATATAATTGGCGTTATGATGGAGTGCAGTAAGACGCTAGACGTCATTGAATCAGCTCTAAGATCGATGGGATGTCCATATCCTCTCCAAGCTAACCAAATTCGAGACCTTGACTATGGAGGGATTTATCCTGTTGTACAGTGGATTGTCAGTCGTGTCTCACCAATGCAAACTGAGACTACGTGCGAGGTACTGGATTTTTCTTGGAAAGGGTCAATTTTACCAGCAGTGTTATGGTGGTTATTTGTATTTGATCTTCAGTGTACATTTATTAACATCACTTGATATATTAGTGTCCTCACCATGCAAAATATCTCTTTAATCTTCTGTTACTGACATTTTAACAGATGAACCTAAGCCTCTTTTAATTATCTCCGAGACTTCCAGTGCTCCTTTTGGGTAGTTCCAAATAGTAAGCTGAACCGAAATTTGGCAAACAAAATCAACATGCTTGTAGAGATCATGTGCAAATTATTAATCTTTTATGCAGGAACAAATCAGTTGAGTGGCATTTTAGGCAAGTAAATGAATAAAGATTCTGAAGCTGATTTTTCACTGGGTCTTATTTTGTTTTCATTTATAAGGGATAAAAAATCCAGCTATTTCCTTGTCCATTTGATGGAAAATCTAGTAAAGAACTTAAATTAAGAATTCATCTAAAGGACTTCAAAGTTCTCAAGATTTTGGAAAACTTAGGTTCATCTTCCAACTCATGATGTTAGGTTATTAATACCATGTGGAGGCCGGGATGGAGGAAAGATGATCAAGTTGACCTGAAACATGGTTGGATCAGGAGATCAACAGAAATATTGGCCTAAGAGGGGAAACAGGATGTTTCCTTTCCTTTTTTCTTTTTGAACAATCAGATAAAAGAGTTCAGTATAGACATATCCTCCGTATGTAATGGCTTATTACTCTTTTTTTTTTTAATAAACTAACCACGACTTATTACCCAAATGCCATTTTTTTGCATGTCTTGATTAGACCGGAAAGGATGTGGCTGAACTCAGCACAAGTCTATTTATTGAGATAGCTGAGAAGGGCATTTGTCATTTCATCCATCTGTTTAAAATTTGTCATTCTATCCATCTTTTAGGCTTAGTTTGGGAAGAGAGCAAATACAAGGTTTACAAAATACCAAATACAAGGTTTTTCACTGTACGTATTTGTATTTGTACTCTTCCCAAACTGAGCCTTAGCTGCAAATTTTACGCAACCAAGTACTATTCTAATTGAGAAGTCCTCTTTGTAGTTGTGGAGAAATTACCTGGTCTGATGGCCAGTCTAGACCTTCCATCTGACAGGTGACCCTTTGATACAAATATAATTTTGTTCATCTTTATTCATCCTTTTAAACAAAAATGGCAATAAAAGGCTACTCTTTTGGCACATAGCTGAGGCCTATGGACTACTACTATCCATACAAAGTGATGTTGAGATGGATGGCATGTGGAACTCTTTGGGCTTTCACTTTCAGCTACAAAATCCTTTGTATCTTTGTATGCTTCCATTCTCAATTAGTATCTGTTTGTGCATGGGCTTGTGCATGAATCTGTGTGTGTGGAGTTTGAAGTTTTTTAGACTCGACCAATATGGATTAGTCTCTCATTGGCCTTATTTATTTTGGGAACTCAAATGTGACAGGCCAGTAAAACAAAGGTTGTAAATCCTTTTTCTCTGATTGAGGAAGCTAGAGTATCCCCTTGGTCGATATTATAATTGAAAAGAAGCAAAATTAAAATAACAAACCTCCATGCATATGACCTGTTTTGTCATCCTCTTCAATCTTTCTGTCTATTAGGATCAGCATAGTTTAGTAATAATTCTGTTTCATTATGAAGCTTTTATTTAAGAGGAACGCTGGTGGAGGTATTTTGTTGCTGTTGCATTTGCTTCCTTCTTGAGTACATTCTGAGTTCACACAGGTTCCTTGGCACTTGTGTAGTCAATTGGATGTTTGAATGGTAATTCATTGGTTTTTGCTTCATCTTGAGGGATGGGGGTTACTTACTTTAAGGCATCTTTCACATCATGGATTGCCTTCAGCAGCTTCATTTTTTTTTTATGAGCAACATTAGATTTTATTAAGTATGAGCAGAATAAATACATACAATTCAAGCATCCCTTGGAGAGGATAACTTCTACTACTCCCTTAAAAATACATACTTTTACTTTACAATTGAGCCCAATATAATTGATCCCTAGTGATCCCTTGTTTGGCCAGTGCATCAAACATACCATTTGTTGCCAGCCATGTAATCTTCTTTAGTTCACTTTTTGTAGAACCACACTGTTCAGTAGCTGCTTATTCTTCTATAATTCCTTTCTAATCTGTTTATTTGACATAATGGGTAAATTCCATTATGAAAAACATAGGTTATTTATGTTGCACATGGCATTGAGCAGGAGCAACACGCTATTCAGTTACTTGAGAAGGAGTTGTGCCTTGCAGAAAATTCAATTAAGATGTTGCATGCCAATTTGAAGGAACAGGTTAGATAAATTCTGTTTTTGATATAATATTTCACAGGAGCAAATTATTTGGTTCATGACATTCCTTGGAAATGAGATGTTTATCGAGGAATTGGACTTGCTGGACTTGTTTAGTTTATATTGTGATCCCTGCATGTTGTAACCTGTGCTATTTGTCAGAATATGAAGAAGGAAAATCTTCTGAATGCAATGCAGCATCTACATGAAAGAATTGATAAAGAAGGTGGTGTAAATATGGTGCCGAAAATGGTTTCACTGTTGAAGACATCAAAGGTTTATTGTTCTAATCTTGTAGTTTCATTTTTTCCCTTCATGTTGAATATGCATTCGTGTTAATTGATGAAGTTTGTATTGATTTTATTAATGAATTAGAACTAACGTTGAAGGAGCTTGGGACCTGTGTTGACCCTCCTCCTCAGGGGCTTGGGGCCAGCATTGCTACTGTTTAAATCTCAAAACAGGATAAATCAAGTCCATTTAAACTTAAAAAGACTCATCCAACATGGAGAGTAAAAATTCCATCAAATAATCTCCACTTAACTTTTTATTTTTTTTTTCTAGGTTTTAAGCACCAAAGTTGTGTTGAAATTTTCATGAGATATTTTTTTTTTCTAAATTCAGGAGAAATTTTTGTTGCTGATAATAAGTAATAGTTATTTTCTGCTAATGATATTCAATATTAAACTTATGCATGATTTTGAGTCTTGTCCTTTTTATTTATTGTTGTTTTTCTTGAAGTACAAAGCATATTATTTGGTCTTTAAGGCTCTTACAATATCATCAATATTAATTTTCTCTTTAATCTTAAAACAAAAGCAATGTGATTATGTAGAGAACGCCATGTCCAATTGCTCCTTTCAATTTTGTGGCATGAACTGATTATTTGAATGCTTTGCCAGGATTTGGAAAGGCAAGCATTGGATTTCCGTTCCTGTTGCAAGCAAAAACATTCTGATTTGCAAGCTGAGGTTACTGAATTGGAGACAAAGATAAATTGTGACAAAAGCAATGACCTCCTTGGTGACATTGACCATTCTTTATGTAACTCATTGGAAAAACTGAATTTAGTAAAGAGTGTAAGATTCTGCTTCTTTTTTTCATAGTAAATAAAAAAAGTCATTAGAAGAAAGAAAAGAGGTAGAGTCTTTGGTAATGAGACATCACCAAGTGATCCAACAAAGAACAGACACAACTGACCTTCTTTTCATATAACATTACTACCAGTCAGGAAAAATAAAACTAAGAAGAATGAAAACATCTCCACCCCTCCCCTGCCAATTTGCCAAGCCCCAAAGCCATCACACCTCTCCCACCAATGACCAAGATCATTACCATGATCCATTTATCATCTTCCACCCTAAAACCACCTCCTATGAACCTTTCCATTAACCATGCTGCACATAAACATCCTTACCCCTTCACCTCCCAAGCCCCTTGCATCACCAAAGATTGTACTTTTGAGTGGAAAGAAGCTGGTTCCTGCTAATTTTTTTTTTCTCTTTATCCCTTAGAATATGCTTGAAAATTTCATTCAGCAATATATTTTAAGATGTTTGTTTATGCATGTATATGCCATGTCTGTGTCTATTGGTCATCATCATCCATGCATTATCCCAACTATATGGGGTCGCTAGTTAGTGTCCATTGATATGGTAAAACTTAAAAATAATTGCTTTCCAGGCTTCTCTTCATTTATAGAACACCTCTCTATATGTCACAGCCAGTTTGACATGGGAATGCTTTCTCTTGAAGGTCTATATTGTAATATATAATTTCAGAGATATAATTGCATATTTTGTATTCAATTTTATAGGAACTTGCAACCAAGCTGAGGAAAACTTTGGTGCTAAAGAGGCAGCTTGATGACAGGCCATCCCAAACAGAACTAATCCAGTATGTCAATCCTTCTTTTGATTAGTAGTGCTTTTAATAAATATTCTTCTCATTTCTTCTTCTTTTTGTGATGTAATCTCTTTTCTCCTTTATTGATCCACAAGAAAAATGTGCTATTAATATAGATGGAATTTTACAATGTCAAATTATCCCCCACATGGAAAAAAAGGACAGTTGATATATTATACACTGCCTTAGTGAATTCCTTACGAGGGACGCAACATAAAAAAACCTAGATCTGCATAGATTTAACTGTAAAGTGTACCACATTCCATCGGATCTTGCTTTTTTTCTGATAGGACCCATCAGATCTTCTCTGGAGCCTGAGAAGAACCATTTACAAATAATAAATATTGCTTAGCCCGAAAAGAACTATTTACAAATAAGAAACACCTCATGTGGCTTACAGGGTTCAAAGAATTGATGCATATCAGTGTGTATCCCACTGATGTGCTAAATACTGAGATTTAGGACTTGTAGCCACTTTTGAAGTGTAATAGCCTTCCTAGAGATGTCTTAGCTCAATTCTTGAAACTTAAAGATAATTCAATCCAAGTGTATTGCCCCTTTGAATTGTGTGATATGCAACTTTTGTGTATTACATGTATCAGTACTTTGAACCTTGGTGACTCATAAGTGAGCCCACTTGATATTAGAAAGATGTGAAAAAACTCTAGATATGGCCAACCAGTTCCCACTGTAAAAAGGATAACTAGGGTTTATAATTCCTCTTTCCTATTCATCATAGCACTGATACCTATGTCATAAATCATTTCCCTTCAAGATATTGGTCTTTAGAGACTGACCAAAAGAATTTGAAGCTCTTCACCCTTGCCATTTGCAGAAATGGTTTTAGGATGGCCTTCTTGATCTACAATTTCTGAGAGACCCAAATTCCTAAACAACTACATGTCAAAGTTAAATTTGAGGATGCCAAATAGTGCAAGGGAGAGACAACTGAGCTGCTGGCTCTATTTTTTTTGATCAATAACGCATTCATTAGCAACTTCGTTAAATCAGGAAAAAGATGATTACAAAGAAGAAGACAAGCACTCTTGTCTTCCACATACAGCTTGAGCACTTAAGAAAAGGAAAGGAAATGGAAACAGTAGTTTACAAATTGGCCCAAAATTGTTGATTGGATGGCTCTATTAGTATGCTGCTATGTCTTTCTTAACTCTAAAATTGTTGATTGGCTATATAACTGGAGAGAGTGAAACAAGATACAATTCCAAAGGACAGAATGCACTTATTTGGGGGGTGGGGGGCTAGGTGAGAGGGGCCCCCACCCCAATATGTATTAAATCTCAATATCTATAATATGTACATCTACTTGTATCCTCATTGATGGATGTAGTTTTAGTTTAAAGAGATCATGAGAGGTCATCAGAAGGAGCTGAGTACCAAAGTCAATCATGATCTTCTTTGATGTCTCAGAATTGTCTGTGAAAATTTTGGAGCTCTTCTTCTCCCAACTACTCCAGAAACAGTAAAATGATACACCTCTCAACCTCACCTAATGGAGACTTAGTTAAAGTCGCTCTTAGAAAGACATGGGATGCCATCAAGAGGCTTTCATTTCAGTATCAAAAAGTGGCATGTAATGGTTCTGTATCCCCACAATGAAAGCATGGGATATATTATAGTTACACATCATTAACTTTGATTTGTATGTCCTGAAACATTAACTTTACCTCAGCCTTGCACTATTTATTTACTTCAACTATTTTCAGGTATGAGCGCCGGTTCTCAGAATTATATGTTCAGATCCAGGTATGAGAATGATTCTTGTGTTCAGATTTTATTTTGATCACCTGATTAGTAATTCAATCAAGTATCATATATTGAAGTATCACCTGTTATTTCCTTGTTTCCAATTCATATTGCAGGAAAAGCTTCGTCAAACTCGTAAATACTATGCTACCTATAATGCTCTCTTGGAGAAAAAAGAATTAATGCTAAAGGAAACATCCTTATTGAATTCAATAAGTTCACAGGTATGGCCACTTTTCAAGTCTAAATTGGAGATTGTATTCTGTTAGGGAGATCCAACCCCCTATAGCAATTCTATAAATTGGGTCCTTGTAGTTGATTTTTTGAAAGAAAAATAATAGAATAAAAATCTTATTTCATACTCTTTCTGTCTTCTCTCTCTCTCTCTCTCTCTCTCTCTCTCTCTCTTTTTAAGGTGAGATTTCTTCTTCTCTATTTTCTCTTTGCAATATCTATTTATCTTTACCCATCAAATACACTGTGGTAAGATTATTCTTCTTGTCCTGCATTACCCAATTAACCAATATCATGTTTCTCAATCCAGAAATCTAAGTTTCTCTTTAACCTACAACTGTAAACCATAGTCAAGACCTAGGGCTAATCAACTATACTGCACCTTTTTTCTTTTTTACTTTTATGTTTGTGCCTTCCCTACCTTAGACTGCATGGTCTGAAATTCTTTTAGACTATATTGGGATTGGTGCAATTTAGTGCAGTGGAAATGGAATTGGGTTCCTTGAAATCCGTTTCCAGAGTTTGGGTTGCATTGGGGAAATTGGTTTAATTTTTTTTTTTGATAAATGAATGAATTTTATTAATCACCAAAGATAAGGAGTACAAGCATTCCAAGGAGAGGCACACGATGCGACCTCTCCTGAAAAGTTAGATACATCTTTCCAGACTTATTAGAACAAGTTACAAACTAGCCCTAAAAAGACCTTCCCTGAATACCCCTTGCTTAGCCAAGGAGTCAGCCACAGTATTTGCTGACCTGCTCACCCATTTAACATCAACTCTTATATTGCTGGTTAGCCACTTCACTTTTTTGAGAAGGTCTCTATAGCCCCATATAGCAGTATCCGGGTTTTACAGCCATCCTACTATCACTTGAGAATCTCCTTCAATTAAAAGATGTTCCACCCCAAGTTGGTTGGCAAGCTGGATCCCTTGAACAGCAGCTAGTAACTCAGCTCTAGTGGAGTCTCCAACTCCCACTGGTCCTGAGAACAAGGAAATGATGTTGCTGTCCTTATTTCTTAGCACACCCCCTACCCCTGAAGGCCAGGGTTACCTTGGCTGCTCCCATCAAAGTTCAATTTAAGGACACCTTCTGGAGGAGGTTCCCACTCTACCACCCTTCTATTCTTCCTAGTAGAGGTATTAGCCACTTCTAGCCAATTCCTCCAAAGATCATCGAATGAGAATTCAGCAAACAGGTCCAATGTCTTCATCCAATGGATTACTCTAGTTAAGATACAATCCTTTACTTCAGCCACACTTCTTTCCTTTTCTAGGAAAATCCTAGTATTCCTTTCCTCCCAAACAGTCTATAATATAGCTGCCCTGATACATTTCCACATGATTTTACCTCTTTTTGTGCACCACCCAAGAGAAAATGGATTAAACAGCATACTTACATCAGACGTCCACCTACGTCCAAATAAATTAAAGCTCCAACTTCATAAGGCTGCAGCAAAGGGGCAAGAAATCAGTAGATGGTAACAGTTTTCATTCTGGGCCTTACACATGAAGCACCAATTAGGGGAGAGGCAAAGAAAAAGGTCTCTTCTTTTGCAAGTTTTCCAAAGTGTTGATTTTCCCATGGAATACTTCCCAGCAAAAAACAACAATTTTGGGGGGAATAGGTCTTATCCAAACTTCTTTTACTAAAAACACCCAGGAGTTAGTGTTGGCAGTGAAGGATTTTAGAAATGAAGCACAAGTAAAGGTCCCTTTTGGAAGAGGGGTCCAAACTCTTTGATCAGATTTAGTGGGGTTCAAATAAACTGACTCAAGTAACTGAAGCAACTCAGAAATACCAAATAATTCGGCATCCCTTAATCCCCTACGAAGGCCAAAGTCCCAATTTAAAGACAAGGGAAGTACCGGACTAGGGAGAAACTTTGAAATAGGCTCATTTTTGTAAAGGGAGAGAGAATAGAGAGGGAAAAAGATCCTTGAGAGGTTGGCTACCCGCCCAAACATCCTCCCAGAACCGAATAGAAGTACTAGAGCAAGCTTCATACCTGATAAATCTGAGGAAGCAGTGGAGAATATTGTGTATCACCTTCCAAGGTGTTTTGAGAGTAGCCCAACGAGATATGCCAACATCCCAACCATTCTCTGAGCAACCATGAATTAACACCACCTCATGCCATAATCTCTCCCTTTCCAGAGGCCATCTCCATAGCCACTTACCTAATGGATCTTCATTCTTTTGAACTATGTTTCCTAACCCCAAGCCTCCTTCTGGTTTACTTTTATTGACTATCTCCCATCTGATTAGATGATCTTTCTTCACCTCTCCTTGTTCCCACAAGAAATCCCTCATTACCTTTTCCAATTTCTTAGCCTCCCTTGGGGGAATCCTAAAGACTAAAAGGAAGTATGTTGGAAGGTTGGCAAGTGTTGCCTTAATCAAAGTCACTCTACCCCCTATAGAGATGTAATTCTTTTTCCAGGCTGCCAAATATTTCCCAAATTTCTCCACAATAGGGGACCGGAAGCTACTCTCTTTAGGGCCTTCTCCTAAGGGAAGCCCTAAGTAGGTCAAAGGCCAAGAAGAGGTAGCACAACCTAAGCGAGCTGCAATGAACTCTACCTCCCCATCCTCCAAACTTATTCTAGCAACACAACGTTTTTCAAGGTTTATCCTCAAATTGGAGAGACATTGTCAAAGACCCTTATTAGATTCTTAGGGTTGTCCACCTTTCTAAACTCACTCCCTTCACCAAAAATAATAATATCATCTGCAAAATGAAGGTGAGTCACCAGAACGCTTCTCCTACTTAATCTCCAACCCCTAATTTGCTCTTGTTCATATGCTTTTGAGATCAATCTACTAAAAACATCAGCAACAAGTGTGAAGAGGAAGGGAGAGAGAGGGTCACCTTGTCTTAGGCCTCTCCTGGTTGGGAAGAAGTCATTGACCACTCCATTCACTAAGATTGAGTAATGGCATGAAGTTATGCAACCACTTATCCAATTGCACCATTTATCCTCAAATCCTTGCCTTCTTAGCACCTCCAATAAAAAACTCCAGTCCACTAGATCATAAGCCTTTTCCAAATCCAGTTTACACACAAATCCTTGACTACCTGATGTCCTCATTTCCTCCACACTTTCATTTGCTATGAGGATCTGATCTACAATTTGTCTATCCTGTACAAACACACCTTGTGCTTGACTGATGAGAGAAGGTAGAACTGCTTTGATCCTCCTGGAGAGTACTTTTGCCAATATCTTATAGATGCTAGTCACCAAACTAATCAACCTAAAATCCTTGGGATGTTTAGCACCAGTCTTTTTGGGATCAAGAGCTAGGAATGTAGCATTTACTCCAGGACTCACCATATGCTTGTCCTCAAATTCTCTAATAACCCCTATTAACTCTTCTTTGAGTATATCCCAGCAGCCTTGGTAAAATGCCATTGTAAAATCATTTGGTCTTGGAGCCTTAGCTCTATCCATAGAGAAGACAGCTTGCTTGATCTCCTCTTCCTCAATTTTTCTTACTAACCATCCCTTGTCATTCTCATTCAAAGTTGGCCAATCCACATCCTCCACTCTCTCTCGAAACTCCAAAGGTCTTTGAAAGATTGATTTGAAATGATCCACAAAGCAACCAACAATCTCCTCTTGAGAATTTATGCCAATTCCATCGACCTCGATATTTACTATCAAAATTTTCCTTCTTCTCCCATTGGCCATAGCATGAAAAAATTTGGTGTTCCCATCCCCTTCCTTGATCCACTTCCTCAACAGGACCTCTTCTAATTCCTTTTTCAGTTTCCATCTCACTTCTCGGTCCTACCCACTCATCAATCTTTGGGACTCTTTTGCATCTAGACTCTCAATATGAGTCAATAAGGTAGTTTTTGTTTCTTCCACTCTTCCAAATTGATCTCTATTCCACTCTTTTACTTTGGATCTCAATCTTTTGAATTTCTTGTGAAATCTGACTCCTTTCCATTTCACCCCCTCATTTCTTCACTCCACCATTCCTTAACCATATTCACAAAATCCGGATGTGTTAACCACGTATTCTCAAATTTGAAGGGTTTGGGTCCGGATCCAAGTGGTTCTTGTCCTACTTCTATAGGGCAGTGGTCGGAAGTAACTCTAGGTAAAGCCTTAGCCACCAAGCCTCTCCAATGATTCTCCCAACTTTCATTGAAAAGAAACCTATCTAGCTTCGAACAGGTTGGATTTTCCTAGAAGATGGACCAATTGAAGATAGCTTGTAATAAGGGAAGCTCTTGTAACTCATAGGAATTGATGAAATCATTGAATTTCCTCGTACTAATAGTGATGGCCTGTCTAGGATTATTTGACTCAGAAGTAAATCTTATTGCATTAAAGTCCCCCCCGACACCATGGGCTTTCCTATAAACCTTGGATGCCAAAAGCTCCCCCCACAACTCATTCCTCTCTTTATAATTATTTGGCCCGTAAACATTTGTTAAGACCCATGTAAAACCATCTTCCACCATCCTGAATTTTTTTTTGATGAATTCCACCATCCTGAATTTTAGGGATACAAAAAAAATTACCTATCAGCTCCTCTACTGGCTCTATAACATCCTCTCTCCAAATGAGATTTTATTGCATGAAGAAAAATTTACTTTTACCCAAGAAGATGGATAATAATTTATAATACAAACAGCCAAAAGCTGACCACTCCAATTACTATGCTAAATTAAATTCTTTACAAAACATCCCCTAGCCTGGGAGTTACCCACTCCAAATTTTCCTTTGTAACCCCTGTTCTTTGTAGAGTCTTCCAAGCTGTTATCAGCCCTAGGAACCCACATGAACAATGTGATTGTCAGTAGTTCTAGCATGATATCTGGTAGAACAAAGAAATGCTAATCTCACCCTTCGCTATATTGTTTAATATGCCATTTTAGTTTGTTAATTGTTATTTACTATATTGTTAATTGTTATTTACTTATCTCACCTTTACTATTTCTTGAGGCGTATGCCAGAGGCACTAACACCTCAGAGGCGTACGCCTCATGCACACCTCATATAAAAAGACAAAAAAAAAAGAAAAAAGGAAACGAAACGAAAAGAAAGGGAAGGGAAGGGAAAGAAAAAGAAGAAGAGAAAGAGAAGAAAAAAAAAAGAGAAAAGGAAAGGGAAGGGAAGAGAAGATAAGAGGAAAGAAAGTGGTCTGCCCCTGGTCCCTTCAGCTGGGGGGCTTTGCCCCCCTTTTCAAGACCCCCCTTTCAACTAGTGCTATACATCTTTATTCTTCTTAATATAAAAGATTTTTATCAAAAATAAAGAAAAATGAGATCCTCCTTCCTCTTCTTCCTCCTCCTCCTTTCTCTTCACTACCCTCTTCTTAAGGAGGCTTACGCCTCCTTGTGTTTGGGAGGCTTACGCCCCTTACGTTCTGAACTACGCCTCACACCTCTAGGTAGTGAAATGCCTGCATCACGCCTCTGCGTTTTAAAACATTTTTTTCTACTTTGTGGTATATTTGTGGTTTTAGTGATTTTTTTTATCTTATAATAGAAACTTTATTGCTATCTAGTTGGAAAATAAAGTCAGGTACTTTTGATGTGATCCTTGGCTTTTACTTCTTGATGTTTCAAGGAAAACAAAGAATATTCAAGTCTATCAATCTCTTACCGCCGATAAAAGTATTTAGTTGATAAAACATCTATTCAGGAAGTTGTTCAATCTTTCCTCATCTGTTCTCTATCTCTCTTTGATTTACGATTTTGCTGTCACCCCTTTACACTGTCACCAAAAAAATGTCCTTTACACTATGAAGAACAGGATATGTCCAAAGTACAAGTTATTCCTGTGTTGAACATAAAAACAATCAAAATAAACCCAGATGATAAAATTATCAATTCAGTTCATTTTAATTTAATTCTTCGTGGACAATTCCATTTAAGCCAACCTCAAAAGAACTTCCGTTCTTTTAACCTAAGTCATTTTCCTAAACCTTAATCCTTCTTACTCTATGCTTTTTGGAGTATATTTCAAACTAATTTTTCTCCTGCAAGTTTATTATTTCTATTGAATCCCTTTTCCAAGATTATGTCCATCATTCATAAATTATTTATGTTCATTGTTTATAATATTATTCATTGGACTTGTAACTTTTGTCTAGTTTCAAGATACCATTAATAGCACAACTGGTCGTGTGAAACTTATCAACTCAATGGAGGGCATTGTGAAGGGTACACAACAGGTAAACATCAAATCTTCTTATGTATAAATTCATGAAACAAGTCCTAGATGCAAAGGAGATATTCTCTAGTTGATATAAGAACCTGGTAACACAGAAAACTTAAAATTGGCAAATACCTGTCTAATCCAGTATTTTATATATGAACTTCACAAGTTATATTCAGTTCTCTCCCCAAACAATATCAACGGAAATTTACTTTATGGGGGATTTATCTATGAGGGAGAAGCAAGCAAAATATATAAAAGGTAAAGAAAATGTGGAAGACCTTAGCTTCTTTCTAAATTAGAGAAGACAAAGGTCTTTGTTCTCTTTAAATGGGAGTACAAAACGGTATAGGAGACTTTATAGTGAAATATGTAATACATTTTCCACAATCCGGATCTCCTTCCACAGGATACTACAGCTGTACATTGGGAACATCTCCCCATGAATGGTAACATGTAAGTAAGGAAGATGTTCTCAATGTACAGCTATAGTGTCCCGTGGGTAGGAGATTTGAGCTCCATTTTCCACCAAAAACAGTGTTGGAAACTTCCATAGTGAATATATGAGATGTAAATCAGTCCTCTAAAACTGATGTAAACTTGGAAAAATTAGAGAGAAAAGAGGAAGAAAAGAAGAGAACAAAAGTACAAGAGAAAGAAGATGGAGAAAAGAGGAGGAAGAAGAAGAGTTCGAATATCCCTTCCCTCCCTTCTCTAATCCTTTTACTAAACTTCAATCTTAACATAATTACAAGTATGCCCTTAAGTGGGCGGCCAGCTAGGCAGTAACATAAAGAGAACTAGCAAAAAGAAATAACAGGCCCATTAGCTAATAGATAAATAAAACATACTACAAGAAAAGATACTAGGGCCCATTCGGCCCAGTCTCTTTACACTCCCCCTCAAGCTGAGCATAGATGTCAATCATGCCCAGCTTGCTTATATAGTGTGTTAGGTTCCCTCTCAGAACTCCCTTGGTCAAAATATCAGCCAACTGCTCTTCTGAGGTGATGAATGGCAAACAAACTTCTCCTGAGGAAACTCTTTCCCGTATAAAATGTCTATCAACCTCAATGTGCTTAGTTCTATCATGTTGAATAGGATTATGTGCAATATTGATAGCTGCTTGGTTGTTACAGTAGAGCATCATTGGCTTTTCATAGTCAACCCCCAATTCTTCTAAAAGGGATCGTAGCCACAATAATTTTGACACACCATGTGCCATAGCCTTGAAGCAGAGGATTTGGCAACTACAGACTGTTTCTTACTCCTCCATGAAACAATGTTCCCTGCCACCAAAGCACAATAACCCGAGGTGGATCTCCTATCATCAATACATCCTGCCCAATCAGCATCAGTGTATTCTTCTAGCTTCATGTGTCTATGTTTGGCAAATAAAATACCTTTCCCTAGAGTACCTTTCAAGTAACACAGAACTCTTTCTGCAGCAGCTAAATGAGTATCTCTAGGAGAATGCATAAATTGACTAATAACACTCACTGCATAGGAAATGTCTGGTCGAGTCATGCAAAGATATAACAACTTCCCAAGCAGTCTCTGAAACACTCCCCTATCAGATAAAAGTTCACCATCTGTAGCAAAAAGCTTATGATTGGGATCAATAGGAGTGGAGGTTGGTTTAGCACCAAGTTTATTAGTCTCAGCAAGGAGGTCAAGGACATATTTGCGTTGAGAAATGAAGATACCATCCTTAGATCTAGCAACTTCAATCCCAAAAAATATCGGAGATCTCCTAAATCCTTGATCTCAAATTCAGAGTTAAGAAATCTTTTGAGTTTACTGACCTCTTGGGTGTCATTACCCGTGACCACAATATCATTAACATAAACTATCAAAAAGGTCACCAGAGAGCCACTTCTTTTCAAGAACAGGGTATGATTAGATTGAGTTTGTGTATAACCAAATGAGACAAGAGCAGCGTTGAACCTCTCAAAGCAAGCTCGAGGAGACTGTTTGAGACCGTAAATGGATTTCTGCAGTTTATACATTCCCTTGCATTTCCTTTCCATACACCCCTGGAGGCAAAGATATATAGACCTCTTCATGTAAATCTCCATTCAAGAAGGCATTTTTAACATCAAACTGGTGGAGAGGCCAATCAAAAGATGCAGCTAGAGATAACAAAACCTGGACTGAGGTCATCTTAGCCACAGGAGAAAATGTCTCAAGATTGTCAATACCATACATCTGAGTGTAGCCTTTAGCAACCAGCCTGGCCTTAAACCTCTCAATAGAGCCATCAGAGTGATATTTAATGGCAAATACCCATTTACAACTCACTGGTTCCTTCTCTTCAGGCAAGTCAACAATATCCCAGGTATGGTTCTTATCCAAAGCATCCAGTTCAACCATCATAGCATCCCTCCATTCAGGTTTAGATAAGACTTCTGTTACAGACCTGGGTATCACATGGGAAGAAACAGAAGCAAGAAAAGAGTAGTAGGTAGGAGATAGAAGGCTATAAGACAGGTGTTTGGAGATACAATGGGCTGTACACTTGCGCTTGCCCTTGCGGAGAGCAATAGGAAGATCAAGGTCTGGGAAAGAAGTAGATGGGTGAGAGGAAGGCTGACCTATTACCTTAGTAATGATGGGAGGAGCAAGAGGCACTTTTGTAGGAGTGGAAACAACTTGCCCATGTCTGAATTTGTGCCTTTGGTACCACTGTGGAAGAACAGGATGAGGAGGAATTACAGGAGGATGAGGTGGAGGAGGAGGAACAGGAATATTGGAGGTAGGTTTAGTGGGAGAAATGGATACCTCATGAGATGACTCAAAAGGAACACGAAGAGGAACTGCTGGAGACATAGCAAAAGGTTCCTCAGATTTCTCCCCCTCAGGAGGAATACTAAAGAAAGGAGTAGACTTAGCAAATGTGACATCCCGAGATACAAAGCGAGTGCCATTAACTGGATCAAAACAGCAATATCCCTTATGTGTGGGGGCATATCCCAGAAAAACACATTTACAAGCCTTAAGTTCAAATTTGTGCTTTTGATGGTTGTGAACATGCACATAGCAAGTGCACCCAAAAACACGGAGAGGAAGAGAGAAGAGATCCTCATCCGGAAAGAGAAGGCTAAAGGGGGTTTTGAAGCTGTTGTAAGGCCTATTTAATTGTTACTTTATAGTTGCTGTTAGTAGGTTGTCCTCTTAAGATACTGTCAGTTAGTTATTTTTCCTTCTTTTCTATTAGTTTGTCTCTAGGGTGTGCCGCCAGGGGCATACTTGTAATTTCTGTTCTTTTTAATAAGTTAATATAAATAGTGAACTGGCGGCCGCCAGAGATGTCGGTTCTTTTTTTTCTCAATTGTATCTTCCTCTCCTTATCGTTCTCTCTCTTTCTCTCTCTCTCTCGTCTCCCACTCTCCATGAATGATTACATGGTATCAAAGCAAGTTTTTGGGCTATAAAATAATTTCGGTCTCTCCAATTTTGAACCGGCTCCTCATCTCTTTTCCTCTAAATTCTTGGACGTGGAAGACAGAGAAACCCTAGTAGACTACTGGCGGAACCTCCTTTGGGTTCTTCCTTGGTCGTAATATCAAGGAAACCCTAGTCGAAGAAGGGCGGTGCAAATAGAGACTCCCTTTCCTCTCTGTTCGATGCTGTGAAGTCAATTTCTAGTTGGCACCTTCGTACAGGTGCTGGACAAGGTATGTGTTCTTGTTTTTTGTGTTTTGGCCAATGCTGTGAAGGCCTTATTCCTTGGTTCTATACATTCGTTTGGATGTTGGTTTGTTAGACTGTATGGGTTGTAGTTGGACTGATAGTAATGTCTGCCTTGGCTGTGTTGGACTGATTACCGGGCTGGTTTAATGACTGAACCATCACAAAGTTGATTTCAGCAGTTTCTTGTTTTCTTTTCCACATCCCAAAAGTAAGTTTCTTGAGGGGTGGTATTCAGTTTGTGGCTGTTGTGTAGTTGTGTGGGATTTGGACTGTTTTCAACAGTACTCTATGGCAAATTATGAATCAACTTCATCGGGGGTTACACCGACCCGCAACACAGCTGGTATGGGAGGTGAAGACATGATGTTTCCCATGCCCATTACCCCCTTAAATGGTCTAAACTACTTGGAGTGGGCTAAAAGTGAAAACTTTATGTAACGGCAAGGGGAAAAGCTGGTTACATAAATGGAAGGGTGAAAGAACCCAAGAGTGAGACAGCTGAACATGATAGGTGGGACCAAGAAAATAGTATGGTGATGTTTTGGCTCCTTGCAGCCATGGAACCTGATGTGAAGAAGAACTTTATGTGGGCAGACACCGCTAGTGAGATCTGGGAAT